TCCGATTGTCCAGTCTGTAGCCAGTCACTATACTGATTGAGCTATGCCAGCTCATACATAAAATATGGATATGTATCGAAATTGTTAATATTTCTGCTTTATTACATAATGGAAACATTTTGTATCTTCAAAACTACCTAAGAAATTTAAATTAAAACTGCCTTCAATACCATGCTCATTATGCTTAGCCTGTAACTATATTTTTATAGATCCGAGAAAAAAGTTCATCATATAAAAATATGTAGAAGACAAGATTCACAAAGTGTTACAAACACTTGTAACTTTCATCTCAAACTTTCTTCAAGTGTAGCATATTTCAAAGGAATTAAGAATGAGAAATTAAAATTATTTATTTCTGTGTGCAGTAAAACTTCAAACTAGAGATGGTTGCTTTAACTTCTCAGTCAGTTTGAAGACGCTCACCTGGCGAGAGACCAACGTCGCCCCTTCCTGTCCAGTATCACCGGCATCTCGGCTATGAGGTTGTTCTCAAACTCGCTGAGCATCAAGTAGTTCTCGACCTGCAACATGACTTGACGGTTTTTGAAACTGGCCAAACTGCGTGTACGGAATGATACAAGGCTAGTGATTCATCATCTTTTTACAGGACTACTTTTGCTTACTTTCCACACATAATTTAACTCCACGACGAATGGTTTAGGCGCAATGGAGATGCCTGTCATAGTAGCATTCAGCAAAACTGTTCACCCCGGACTGAAAGCCTGGTCAGCACAGTCTTGTAGTACGAGCATTTAAATCCACTATTATAGTGCAATATAGAATACGCACATTCAAATTTCCTACAAGCGCCTGCTTATCTAAAAATTAGTTAAATTACATATTAGAAAATAAAATTTAAAAAAAAAATTGGAGTAATAATTTGTTCAAATATCTTATGTAACATCAAATATTTCAAATTTTTTGCAACTGAATTAGAGTTTTTAACTTTGGCACTCCCTACCCTCCAAGTTGTGAAACTTTCTCTCTCTATCCCTCAGGATATTCAACTCCCTTCTTCAGACCACATTCAAAGGATAGCACGTGAAAGGGTCACAACATTTCTCTCACTAAAATCAAGAGAATCCTACCATAAACACCACCTCAAATGAGGAAAAAGTCTGGCAGAAAGCAGACAATGCTCAATTTGAAACATGTTTCTGTGAACAACCTTTTGGAACACTGACGAGTCCAGTGCATGGCCGTGCCTTCTCTTAATATTCACATGAACTGCAAAGCAAAACGAGGTTCCGAGTTCCGATACACTGAATAATGGCAGGCTTCATAAAATCTGCCTCTTTCCTAGTTTCATTTGGCTTCAACACAGATGTTAGCGCGTTCATGACGCATCTCAATGTAGCAACAAATGGCACATATATTCAGTATCTATTGTAGAATGCAGAAAAGTCCTATCTGAGAGACCGAGTTCAGCGTCGCTGCACGCAGTCTAGGTCATCCGGCAGATGAACATGCCTTTTTATAAGATGTGACACCAGCTTACCTTGTTACATGATGTTATACAGTCTCCTATGTAGTCCAGATCATCCAGCA